TTTAATTGTAATTTACATTTACAACATACGACTAAATCGTAATAATTATGACTTATAGTTAAAATATTGTGTACGCCTAACCACTTAAACTAACCACTTTAAATACTTTACCTATAAATTTAAATGTAAGTATAGAAAATCTAATGGAAAGCGAAAGTTAAACACTTCATAAACCCACAATTATAATACATATATGTGTGCTTTCTTGTGCACAAACATACGAAAATATGACATTCATATATTAACAGCACAAATTTATATATGTGATATTTACATAGAAAAGCTTAAGAACAATTGCATCGAAAAACTTATATAAGTTCCATCTGTTGTCATCGGAAAAAAGTAAATTTGATGCTGCAAGAATTACATGCTTACTTTAAGTAGATAAAAAGGGAAACATAGGTATTATTAATTTTTATTTATTATTGGTATGTGTACCATCTTCGTACCATCTGAAAATATAAACGATTATCTTAGGCTACCTAATAACGCGACGGTTTTTCACGCTAAAATCTTAGCAATTAGAGAAGCTCTTCGGCAAATTGCAAGTCACATCGACAACAGATGTAGTGTTGCCATTTTCATTGACAGCCAGGCAGCAATAAAAGCCCTTGAATCTTTCATAACAAAATTAAAGACCCTAAAGGAATGTAGAGAAGCAATTGAATAGGAACATCGAAGGAAACGTTTAGTGACAGTTCAGTTCGCTCTGGTACTTCCTTGGCTCTGTTCCTGGCGGTACCGGTTTATTTTACCCTAGAGACCATTAAGAAAAGTACCTACTTCTACTTTCTTCAACTTGTCAATAACAGATAGAAAGCACTTAAGTCGTGTACAAGTCGAGAACGTGTGAATACTGCAAGGCTTACTGCTGTTCTTTCTGGCCATTGGTGTATTGGAATTCACGCAGAGAAACTGCGCATTCGCCATAATCCTTACTGCAGAAGTTGTGGAAATCCGCAGGAAAAAGAAACCATAAAACATTTTCTCTGTGAATGGCCAGCTTTGGAGACCTATTAAATTATCTAAATTTGACGGGATAGATTTAGTCTCTACTCCTCTATATTAGCGGATCCTGCGAGGAATGTGGTAGCAAAAGGGCGAAGAATCGCTAATTGAGGTACATGGAAGTTATCTAAAGGGTTGTCACTGCAGCCAGTCAACCAACTATTGGTATGTGTAGTCCGTTTTTCACTCGGTACTTTAATTCAATTTATGTGAAATCATAAATAAGTACACTTTGATACGCAACGCTACTTCTATTGACTAACTTCAATTTTAGTCGCTGCTTGTTGTTAATTTTGGTTTTACATCATCCTTCAGAACTTTTATAAAATCTTCTTTAGGGTAATCGCAAAATATTAGAGACTGATTATCCATCAGTTCTAGGGTAACCGCAGACTAATGTGCTAGACAATTAAACCAACTTAAAACTTAATTTTCTTTGCGCAAATACCAGGATTTGTGCAATTGTTTTTGTACTTTTATTTTAACATATTGTTTTGTATTCAACGGATATTTTCAAATCATCGAGGGTTTGGGATTTTTCCTTATAAAAGTATGTTTATAGATGTATATTTAGATAATAGTTCTGGTTGAAATAAGGTACTGAAGCAGTGCTATCGAATCAACACCAAAAAATTAATATCCCTTTATTTCCAAAGACCACCGATAAGGGGTATGTGGGAATACTTGAAACAGATGTATGGTTACTCAAATAAAAATTATATAGTTTAGTTATAAATTTTCACATAATTTGTTTAGATGTGTTTAAGTTTTTAATATCAAATCGTTTGGAGTGAACTTCTGTAACGAGTGTTTTTATTAGCTCTTGATTACATTCGTTCTAATATTTTCTATTTGTACAATTTGATGGATTCACTCAATCTTTCCCTTTGACCGAGGGATTCGTTAGGGATGTTTAGATATGAAAGAAGTTTTTTTGTCATATAAAATGCTTTGTGATTGAACGTATAATGAAAACATGTATTTCTGTATTGTAGGCATTATTATCATATTTTATTATATTTTTATTATTTAGTTAAATCGTAATTGTCGTATTTGGTTAATAATTACACAATACGACATTTTCCAGATTTGGTTTTTGAAATTGATCATACATCATCAATGTTACTGATCTCGAATGGTATCAGAATAACATTTGGCAACTCCAATTCACCGACTAGTTTTGTACCATTTATTTTATTTCTGAAGTCTTCTGGCCTCACTGTCATACGTATATATGTCCTATATATTTTTATTCTATATACTGGAATCATTAATATTGGCCGATTCCATATAAATGGTTTAGAATACTATGCGGTGTCATGGTTTGAAATCGCTATACGTTATTTGATTAATTGATAAATAATAAGTTTATTTTCATCATTTTTATTACTTAATTATATTAATTGATCAAGTTATACATTAAATTATTTTAGTTTCATATAATTTTTACTTATTTTTTTTAACTTAGAAAACTCAGAACAAAATTCAATAGAATTCAAGTAATGTATATTTTAGGGCTGCGAAAAACTTTATTTTATAGAACTAAAAGGTAAAATAAAATTGAAATACCATTAGTACAAGTTTACAGAGAAAATTAAATTTAAATTTAAAATAAGAAATAATTAAATGGTGATCGCAGCGTTATTCTTCGACAATTTTAAGGTTCATATACATTTTCATTCTTAAAATTATGTGTAGGAATACTGGATTTCCTACACGTAATTAGTTTATTGAAGGATAAAGTTGTTAGATATTCAAATAATTCTCTACTGCCATATGTCATTGTTTTATCAAAATTATCAAAATATTATTTCAACTTGTCTATTATATATAGATTTAAATAATTCAAATAATTTACATTTAAATTTTTTATTTCGTGTTCCATATACGTATATTCTGCCCGTCTTTTTTTCTGGTATTTGCATTTGTTTCCTTCTACCTTCTGTGTTCGACTTGGGAGATATCTTTCTAAAAGAATTATATCTTTTGTAGGTGAATTCGTCAATATTGTCGAACTAAACCATCTCTAAACCAAATTCTTACAAAATTTTTAAATCTTTCCTATATACGATATAACATACGTGACATATTTTATTGACCAACAAGAGTTCTGGAACCTAAACACTATGAATTACTTTATAAATGTCAAAATACCAAAAATGCATTTCCTGGAAATATTAATTTAGTTTTTTTAATTAACATTCACAAAATTTTCGAGTACAGTATTTATCATCGCTTTGCTAAAATCCTGGCTGTACGACTATTTTACAGCCACCTGCAAATTTAAAGGGATTTCATTCATTTTTTTCTCAACATATCAACTTTGTTCTGAACTAACATTACGACAATAATAACTTTTTCTAATAAATTTGAGGTTTTTCCAGACTCCGGCGATATAATCATCAGAAAGAAAAATAATTAGAAAAGTAAGAAAATAATTAAAAGCATTTTAGTTTTCCAAAAAAAAGTATGTAATGAAATATTGATGAACAAAAAGTTGCAATCGGAAAAGTTCAATTTTATTTAGAATCACTACAGAATCGGTACAGCTATTGGATAATATTATTTCCGGATGATAAAGAGATGCTTGTAGGAGAAAATCACTGTTACCAGAAATCAATATCTCGAAGCACGTTACTCAACAAAGTGTGCTCATGAAGTCTAGGTCTGCATCGTTCAGTTGACATATAACAAAAACTGGAAAGTATTCAGATATAACTTTAAAAATTTGTTAAAATCATACTCTTGATAATTATGCAAAAGAAAACGACATTTTATGTTAATTACAGTCATTTCAATAGAATTATTTTACTTGTCTGAATTAGGCGAATTACAAAATCATGAGCTCTTCAGATTAAAACGCTCACAATCTTAGGTATTAAACCTGCAATTGAAGATCTAATGCAGTTCATGTTAATGTAGTTACAAAAGTAATAACAATAGTATGTATATCAACGCCATTTACTTAGTTCCCAACGTCATACTAAAGAGTCTAATTAAATTTTTAATACTTTACGGCTTCTTACAAAAAAACATTTCTTTAAGACTGAGGTACATAATAAATTAATAAATATTATACATATAGCTTAATTTTGATTTTATTTTAGTATGATTTTATATTTATGTTTTGTAATCTGAACATTTATACAAATAATTTCTTATAATTTTTTAGTACTAGGGCTTAGATTTTGATAGACCTTCTTGAAGACATATAAACCCAAATTCGAGATACCTGAATTCGGTGTTTGTAACAGTCTGATTATACGAAGACAGATGGTTAACTGGACAATAATATTTAACTATTTTTATCTACTATAAAAATGTTAAAAAAGTTTGCATTTCAGATTAGATATAGATTATTTTTAATGTAGTTTAATATTTATTTTATCGGGACACAGTGAAATGTGGTTCAGTTTGCCATATATTGGATCGACACTAAATTCTATTCTGAATAAAACTGTCTTTACTACGTAAACTAAACTAAATTGAAATGAAAATTTTAGAAGTGCTTCCAATTGGATTACAAAATAAATTTATTTCCTAATCCTAAATTATAAAAATTGATTTAAATAAACAAAATTATATACAAAGTGCTTAATAATTTGTTTAAAATATAAATAAAATATTTAGTACACAATATTTGCAAAAATGTTAATTATTCTTAGGTAGTAACTTAAATACTAATAATAATGCTATTTTTAAAAAATGTTTAAACTAAATCGTTCCTTTGATTATATGTAATGTTAGAGTGCTAAGTAGATACTATAATCAAAGAACGAGTTGTTTGATTCTTATTTTAGTTGTGCAAGTTGGAAGAGCTTAGCTCCTTTTAATTCAATTTAATTTTCTTAAAGTAGATAGTTAGAAGAAGTTTTCATTAGCAACTTTACTATATGAAATTAATTAATAAAAATGACGTTGACATGATCTACAATAAATAAATAAATATATAAATAAATAAATAAATAAATTATATAATTTGCTTGCGAAAGAAGAATTTCACAGGATTAATAATTTGAGATTTTTTCTTAATTATATCTAAAATTGTAAAATCTGATTTATCCAGTCTCGAAATTCTGAAATGCGAGTATAAACACCAGGTTGGTTAGCTTCTGCGCAACCAATACCCCATGAAATGACACCTCCTAATTGGAATCGCTTATCTTCTTCTCGTTGCAAAACCATGGGACCCCCAGAATCTCCTGTAAAATATATCGATTTAATCAAATGCCTATAACATTTTGAATCAATAGATAATACCTTCACATGAATCATATCCTCCCTTTTTCCAACCTGCACAAATAAATATGTGTGGAATATGTTCGATATAGCCAGCAGCTCTGTACATTGATTCGCATATAGTGTTATTAATTACTGGAACCGCCACTTCTTGTAAAACGCTAGGTAGTGGACCATCTTCATAAAGTCTTCCCCATCCTGTTACAAAAGCAGTCTGACCTATGAAATCATAGTCATTTTCCGGTACGCAAACTGGTATAATATTTGGTTGAAAAATAACTGGTTCATAAAATCTAAAAGTAAAAAAGGACATTTTCTTTTAGCAAATAAAAATGATTAATTATTAGTTAATTATTTAATATTACTAGAAATATTAAAAAAAGTCATGTATTTCTAACAATATAAAAATGCAGACATTTACTTTAAGATTTTCGTTCAAAATAAAATCGAAATGATTATCGAAAGCATATATTTTGATAGTATGCGTTATCCAATGACGATATATGTTGTACAATGGATTCTTGTTAACAAAATTTTTAAAAAATTTTTTAATCCGATTTTTAAATATTATATATACGAGTTAAATTGTTTATATTCAATTTAGTAATGTACCTCAATAATGCCAAATCGTACTCAAAAGTCCTGGGATCAAATTGTGGATGAGAAGCAACGATTTGTACACGACGCTCCTGGTATCCGTAGGGTTCCTCCTCTTCGGCTAAATCATATTCGCCTAAGCGTAGCAATAAGTCAGATGGAGGAACACTTGAAGAACAAATATACACAATTATTAATATTAGTAAAATAACAAAGAAATTTTAATAAACATACTTGTCTACACAATGTGCTGCTGTAATTGCCCAATTCTCATTGAGTAAAGCGGCGCCGCATTTATGCAAGTAAGTTGATGTACGCCATTGTCGCAGAGATATCTGCCATGGCCATCGTCCGAAAGCAGCATTTGAGCCTCCAACAATGCGAGCTTCTGGAAACATGCGCCGTCCACAAACTAAAAAAAGAAAAAGACGTTATCTTCTGTATATTTTATTTTATCATTTTTAATTGTGTAAATATCCGTATATTGTAATTGTATCCCAACCTTGAACAATCAGTCCTTTTACTTAACATATTTACTTAGACAGTGAAACCATTCTGTTCTAAATGATCTATTTTATTCTATCAAGAAAATATTTACCAGGAGTATTAAATATTTATTTGCTTTTTATAATTAATTTATTTTATTTTATAACAGCAAGGATAGAAATATTTTGGCTTTGGAAAATTGATTAATCAACTCGGTAGCCAATATTTTGGAACAATTATGTTAATCTTTATTACAGAGGTATGAAAGTATTTATTGAATTACATATTTCACATATATCGAAAAATCTATATATAATTTACCTTGTCTATAATTTAAGCCTTCTAGCGAGTTAAGTGGTGAAGTTGTTGTTGTTTCCATGCTTATGTTCGGGTCGTCTGTATAATTATCTGTTGACGTAGATACGTCGTTGTCTATATCAAGTCCATTTTCCGTAGTTAGCAAGATAGCTTGTTTAGTTGTAGTGTCTTTGATAATCGTCTCTTCAGTTGATGGAGTCAAAGTTGGATTTGTTATAGTTGTTGAAGTTGTGGTTGTAGCTGTCGTTGTGGTTGTGGTTGGGATTGGTTTCGAAGTTGTAACAGTTATTGAAGTACTATTTATAACAGGAAAAGTAGATAGAGTTGTAGGTCTGGTTGAAGTAGATGGTGGGAGCTTTGTGACTGTTGTTTTCTTAGTAGTGCTTGCTGATGTCGCAATAGGTCTAGGTTTTGTGGTTTTTGTAGGTGCGTTTGTTGTTACAGTTGTAGTCGGCTTTAATATATGAGTAGATGAATTGCTCAAAACTTCGCTAATGCTCGATGAAATAGATACAATCACTCTTTCTGTGGTGGAATCTGCGGGAACTTCAATTTAAAATAAATCAAATCATTTTATTATTTTTTACTTGTTTAGTTTTTTTGTATTTTTCACAAAGTACTTACCACTAATTGTTGTGCGTTTAGTTGTAGACAATGGGATCCAATCAACAGTTATATTTTCAACTTTCCAATTATCAGTTTCTGGAAAGTTTACAGTCGGTTCTGCATCTGCGTTAGTCCATGTGATAAGGTCTGGTTTTGATGAGTTCAACGGCTTTGTTGTGACATATTTATTAGGAACATTTGAATGGTTAGTTGATGAAATGGTTGTTCCTGAAGAGATAATATTTGAAATGGTTGGTCTAGAGGGTTTCTCCGTAGGCCTTTTTGTTGTTTTATTTTTCTGTGGAAGTTTAGGTGACGTATCTTCTTCTTTAATAGAAGAAGGTTTAGTATTAGATAAACTAATGCTTGATTCTGTAACGGGTTTATGTTTTATAATGGTTGGTTTATGTGAATTATAAGGGTGAGTAGGTTTCGGCTTTTGGGTGATAGTAGTAGAATTTGCCAAAATTTCATTAGTGCTTGGTGAAATAGCAGGATGTGTTGAACTTGTTGAACTTGAACTCAGTGTTGAGTTTGATGCAAATTGATTAGATGCAGGTTTAGTTGCTGGTCTTTTTGTTAAATAAGTTGTTGACTGGATCGGCTGTTTAGTAGTTTCCACCGAAGGTCTTTTTGTTTGCTGAGGTTTCTTGGTAGTTGTTGGTCTATTTATTGGTTTAGGTTTTTTAGTAGTTTTTATAGAACTGAAATTTGTGTGATCAATCGGTGTTGTAGTAACATTGTGTTTCAAAGGTGTTAAAGCAGTATCAGTAGAAACATTAAAGCTTATGGGCTCTGTGCTGATTGGTCGTTTGTGATTTGCAAATGAGGTTTCAATAGTAGGTAAATTATTAGTAATTTTTGTGGTTTCAATTATTGTTGGTGTAGTGGTTTCTACGATTTGAAAAGTGAAAAACTTTGTGGACTGAGTTGTATCATCTGCATTTTGATCCAACTGTTGGTTTTTAATTTTTTCAGTAGTAAGTATAGGTTTAATTGTTGTAATATGTTTTACTGGTTTCCTTATTATAGATGTTGCTGACGGTTTTAAAAGAGTACTTGGCTTAGTTGTAGTTCGAATAACAAAATGAGATGATTTGTGTGTCGTTGTATGTATGATAGGTGGTTTACTATACTTTTCAGTCGATATTGTAGGTCGAATGGCAACTTTGGTAGAAGTATCACTATCAATAGAATTCTTGTTTGAATCGTTTGATCCGTAACTGATATTACTAAGTTTAATATCAGACTCAGTTGTTAACTTATATAAAGCACTTGTTGGTAAAGTAGTTGACTCATGTGCGAAGTGGGATATTGTGTTTTGATCAATACTATTATCATTGATTTCCATTGGGTAATTGCCTCCATCATTCTCCTGAAAAACATTTATTTTAATTTTTAAAAATAAATACAATATTATTTAAATATATATGTATACCTTAATTTGACAACATGATCCAAAATAGAAGCGGTCAATACATGTTCCCAAATGTGTTCCATTTTGTTTAATACAATCAATAGCAAACATACAAACACCTGACCGTCCAGACTTTCGAACAATACACGGTAGATGTCTAATATTTCTGCCAGATTGAACTAAAACGAATTAAATCTTTATTTTTAATATTGTTGTGAATATGGCATCTAAGTAATATTAGAAAAAGTTTTCTAAGAATGTCAGTTTAGTTTGGAAATGTTTTATTATATGATTATGATTAGAAAAAATTGTGCTTGCGTTTAACAAAACTAAGAGCAATTAAAATGATTAATCAGAACTTAAGCTAACTATTTAATTATTATAATACGTATATGTGTATTATTCTATATTACATATACTATTAAATTTCAAAAACTATTTTTTTGTTTATTCTATGGAACTACGTTCTATAACAACAAATTGTGTTTTGGGGAATCTTATACGAACTTTCTTCAGAACTTTTCTCCATGTAGGGTATGTGTATATGTTGATAAAAAATTATGTGGTTCTGTGAAATGCTGTTGACTTAAGACACCTGCAATCAAATTCATTTGAACTAGAAGCAAAAGAACTATTAAATCCTACCTCAATTAACTATTAATTATATATATTAAATTAATTTTGTGCGATATTGAAATTATTCATTTTTTGAAAAATGTATAGCTAACCATACCAACTGAATTTCGAGTATTTCGAGTATTTCGGTTCTCACTGTCTAAATACAACGCGGGTTTTTAATGCTACTGTTGAAGCATTGTCAATATTCAAATTTCAACGTTCTCTTCTTCTTTCGACTGAATTACGACGTTCATTACTATGTAAAAAGTGAACAAGCAACGGTTAATTTTTGTTTTATTTTTGAAGAGAGCGAAAAGAAATTGTGTTAGTAAAAAAGTTTGTCACGTTTCTCTGTAGACGTCGTCTTGTGTCTGTTTGCGATTTTATGTTCGTGCTATATACTTGGCACTTGGCTTAGCTATGTGGATGGTTTGGTATTAGCGGTGTATTCGTGAGTCAGAAGCATATAGGGATGGATGGGGAGAGAGCTTACACTTAGCACGATTGTTTGTGTTTTGAACACTAACGCTGTTTTTAGGTCAACGTATTCAAGATTATCGTTTTTATCGTTTTTATCGTTTACTGTTGCAGCGTCATACCTGCGTAACTTATTTAATACATTTTTTATTTAATAATCATATGATTGTGTGAAAGATTTGAGTTTGGGCAGTGCGACTATTTGTTTTCGTTTGTGCGATCCGATCGCTTTATTGTTGTTGCTTTTAGTAAACATTTGTATTTGTATAATTTTTATGGTGGGTGAAATGAAATTTAGGTCGTTGTGTCAATTTTTTTTTCAACAGCAAGAATGTTATTCATTGTAAGTTACTACGTACGAACACGCATGCTCGTCGTTATGTGGAGAAGAATGTGTGTATAGTTTTACATTTTCTTTTCTTTCGAATTTAGGCATAAAATTCGTATTGGTGTCCATTTAAAAAATAATTTGTAAAATAATATGTATTATAATTTTTCGAAATAAAAAATTGAAGTTTTAAATTAAATAAAATTATTTTCATAATTAGTCAATTTGATATTCATGAAAATTGATACAATTTCAAAACTACAGGTATCAGGTATTTGTGATGAATGCTGCTCTAACCGACTTTAAGCATGTTTCCATCTAGTTTCTTGCTGACCTAAATTATTTTTCTTTCTTTTGAAGAAAGTTTTGCAATTTTTTCAGTTTACGATATCTTTTTGTTTTTACTTATTCGAATTTATAACTTTAATGAGGAATTTTTTTAAATTTTATATTGAATTAATTTATTGCTTTTTTTGTTAATGTTTGTCTTTACTTTATTCTTATGTTAATTTAAAAAAACATCAGTTTTTATTTGGTTAAAACTTTAAAAGTTTCTAAAAAAATGGAAGATATTTATATATCAAATAGACTTGTATTGGAATTAGCATTTATGTTAGTCTCCACATGAAAATTCTTCCACACAAATATAATAAATATTTGCTTTCATTTTTTGGTCATTTATTCTAATAGTACATATTAATTTATACAAATATGATACAAATAATGTTTTCAAATAAAAAACTAGTCGCCGTATCGGCAGAGTGTTCGTAGAAGAAGATACGGTACTCACTCCTTCCAACAGGGACTCGGAAAATACCAACAACAACATGTGCTGTAAATAATTGGAAAATATTTAACTGTACTGACACAGCGAATGGAACAGTTTATTTAATTCAAGCAAGTTTTGATTTTATAAATAAGATTGAACATGACAAAATCTTCTAATTTAAATGCATAACAAAATTTAATTTGGGAATACCCCTTTGCGACCTAACGAGAAAGGGAAATTGAAAGCGCCCGGTGGTGTTATATAGCTAATAGCAAATGAACAATAATTATTTAAAAAAGTGTTTTACTGCAATATATACTACATTATTATATCAATAAGTTCTGGACAAAGATTAGATAATTATTTAACATTCGAAATAAGTAGTTAGCAAAACATGAGAGAGCTTCTGAATCTGATACTAATAATAACTATAAACTATAATAATAATTATAAATTATTATTGCTATAAATTATTATTAAACCGTCGACAACTACTGAGAGTAATTGTTATTACAACCAGTAATATAGATAATGCTCCTAACCTGTTATTCAATGTTAGTACAGATATACTAACCTTGAATAAGCTTTTAAACTTAAATCTTAAGCTTAAAGTAAAGATTTATTATCTATGCTTAAATTTCTCTACTAATTGGTGAAAAATAAAAATTTTAAAGTGTGACATAAAAAAATTACAATAAAAGATTGACAGAACATGTTAACCCCTTAGCGAGGAATCTCGCACTTTTATCAATTACTTCCCGCCTAAAAAGAGCTGACCGTTCAGTCATTAATTAATATTCAATAGCTTGAAGTTAAAACCACACCTTTCTTTTTAATAATCTGATAAAGTTTAACTGCTTTGTTAATTAACCACCTAAAATTCACTCTAATGAAATAAGGTTTACTTATGTTATTTTATATTATACAATGTGTAGTTAAAATAAAAAATTGTAATATTATGTGAATAGTGATAAGATTTTAAAACTAATTGTTAGTCTCATTGTAAGAGAAGATACAATAAATAAATGTATAAGTATTTTTAAAAAAAAAATGTAATATTATATGTTGGTTTACTTACATTGTGCCAAACTCGGATCATTTACAAATACCGGATTGGATAAAGTGATGTGTATTGAATTTAATAATATTAATAACACAAAACTATGTAGCCATGTAAAATTAAAATTATTACAAATATTAATTCTCACTTTTAAGAAATTATTCATTGTAGTCTTCAAAGGTGGCGGAAAAGCATTCGGTTGACGAAGTCGTGATGTGCCCATCTGCAAAAAAAAAACATTTATATTCCAAATAAATAAATAAAAATTGACTATGAATATATTTTACAATTCGTGATATTCCACAATATTCTCATATATTATTTTAAATCATTTAAAAACAAATGGAATATTTAAAATTTAAAAAAAGAATGCAATTTCAGTCCCAGTTCTTAAGATTTCTTACTACGCAATTATTTTGTTTTGTTGATTTATCTATATAATGTTATATAATATAATAATTAATAATTAAGTTACTAAAACATATATATTTGGCAATATCTGACTATATTTATTTCGATTGCATACTAATTGCATAAAATTCTTTATATTGTTATTCAAATTATTAGAGTATATTGAGTAGTTGCTTTTCAAAATAGGTGTAAAATAAGAGTATATAGCAAAAAAGTATATTGCAATAGTATTAACCCAACGATGACTTAATGGGCTCTAAAAAGTGGTCCAAAGTGTGCATGTTGCCTCGATGTAGCCTACATGAAGCAGACTGTAAATGACATTATTAATGACTTTCCCATTGTGTATAACAAAATTACAATGGTCAACTATATCTATACGAGTATATCTTGATATACCATATAATTTTGTTGATTTGAAAATTTATTAAAGTTTGTAATTCTTCTATGTATATACGTAGGGATAAATATTTAGTAAATTGAAGTATCAATAAAATCCAAGTTAACTTATTTTGTTGATTTTTATTACGGTTTGTTTTTTCTGCTTTGTTAAATACATATGATTTTATAATATAGCATACAGATGTTTAATTCTTATATTTTTTTTTTTTGGTTTCAATTATAGCCGCAAGTGAATGTCTTGGTGTAAGTGAAAGTTTTAGAAACTACAGTGACTCATGGGCAGCCACATTTGAATCAAATAAATAAAATTATAAATTCAGTTTTTATGTGATCACATATGCAAATATCAAGCCACTTATTATCGACATCAACGCTACATGTTATAGCATCGGCCAGGAAACCTTTTTGCATTAAAAATTATTTTTTATTTTCACTAGTTAATTATTATAAAACAATATTTATGCTAAATATTGACTTTTAATGTATAAATATATATACAGCATAAAATGTTCTTATTAATATTTTAATTTAGTAACACTTTTATTGTATTAACTGTATAGGGATTTGATATTTTATGTTACAAAAAATTAAATTTTAAAAACAAATTTAAAAAACTATTCACAACTTATTTTACTAAAGTAAGGCATATGAAATTTCCTAATTTAACTCCCTACACTCCATTTATGCAAGTAGTCAATGCACAAATTTGTGAATAACTAGCTGCAATAATCGCTTAATCGCTTTAATCGTCGTAAAGATGTAAAGAAGATTTTTCTTAATGTTTTTAGTTTATTTATTGAATCTTCTCTAATTTACTATACCCTAACAGCAAGTTATGAAACCTTAAGATTATTTACATATACATTACAAATTATTTAACATATAAATAATTGAGCTCCGTTGTAATTTTCATACAACAAGACTTATTTAAACAGTTCTGGACTAAATAAAAAAAAAGGAATAAATTATTTTCATAATTAACTTATAGCTACTAACTTATGCCTGGTCGCTTTAATATTTTTGAAAGAAGGCATATCATCGCAATAGCACGTCTTTTGGCTAAGGGGTTTATATGTACTCACAGCATATGTAATTTGTTCTAATTTCTTAAATTCAAATTTTATTATTGGTATCTCTAAATCAGCTTTCTCAGTCTTTTTTGTTTTATTGCCACACATTTCTAAAAATTTCACAGTGGTTGAAAATCACTGCTCTAAATCTTTGTGAATGTTTTCTTTTCTGATATGCCACAGTGCTTCTGTGATTACCCTTAATATTTTTGAATGAGATTCAGTCAAGATTTCTAATGATTAGTGATACCAAATAATTAAAGACTGTATGCTAAATTGATTCAATAAGGTGATATGGTGTCATTTTTGTACGTTAATTTTCAGTTGTAATTGTGCTAGCCAGTTTTCTGAGAATAGTGATTAGGCTTCAACTTGACTTGAAGATTTTGAAAGAATTTTGTAACATCATAAAATTTCTGTGCTCTTAGCAAATCTAAATGGAACGTAACAATTACTTTTAGGAATTTTAAATTAAACAGATTATAGAGAAGGAGGCCGAGAGCACTACTTAAGAAGATGCCAGCATTTATGAACAAACTTGAAGTTGTGCTTTATACTGAAATACATCTCTTACAGATATGATTCCAGTATTATCACTGCGTTTGGAGATAATATGTGTTTGATTTAATAACTTATTTATTAATAAGTTTTGTTTTATTTATGTCACACTCTATCGAAATATTATTTCTTGCTTGTCTTATTTCATTTGGAATACTATTAATTTGAAAGAAGAAAAAGGGTTACAGTTTTACTAGAAGTATTTTCTCAAAAAATTTAAACAGTCAAGGGAGAACAATAAAGGATTTATATGATAAAGCTAATGTAGGATCTTAACTAAATTTATGCTTACACAAATAGACTTAAAGAATTGCTCAAAGGTCACTAAACAAGACGAAATTGTGCAATATAAAATAAATACTTTAAATACATAATAGGCACTCCAGATATGAACTATACAATCACAAACACACTAGAAACTATTTATGAAAGTACTCAAATAACGCAAGATTAGTTGTCAAACAAAAACAAAACACTATAAAAAATCTTATAAAAGGTTTAGAATGCAAACACATCACATCATTGCAGTAATATACTAAGTGAAGACAAACAAAAGGATGCTGCAAAGGACCTAGAGAGTGTAAGGAGCAGCTTCCAATTGACCAGGTGATATTAGAGCAACATGTTTAATACCGTTCACCCATGAAGATGATGGATATATGCATGTATAGTCCATTGAATCCGAATCTACAGCTTAACAGAATACAAGAAATAATACATGCTGAAATTATCATTAATATAGAAATATTTCAAGCTGGCTGTTTTCCGCCTTTTTATTGTGTATAGCGTTAAGTTCTCTGAGTTAATAATTAAACAGATGCATATATGGTTTCAAGATAAATGTAAAAGAAAATTATAAAATTATTAGCTATTTACTGTGGAGGACATAAAACTGTATGATTTTTTCCTCACTAACCAAAACAACTCAGGTTTGATATAGCGATTAATATAGCCGATGGGTCATACATGCCTCAGGAGTACTACAGAATCCTTAACAGAAGCGAAGTCGATAGGGATCATCACATAAATGGTTGTTGTATTAGGATATGTATGGTGAACTGTATGGTAGCTAAATAAGGTTAGGTAATACCAATAAATTATTTAAAAACCTCATAATAAAATATATGAATATTAGTGATGACTAATGTAGAAAGTGTAGAGTTCGAAAAGAAACGATTAAACATTTCAAATTTGAATTTATTTGAAACAGAGTAAATAAACAGAGTACACTAAACCCCCGATCTGCGTCGCTGCGATTGCCGTTAATTCGAATTGCGTCGCTAAAAAAATTAATTTTGGCTTCGAATTGCGTCGATAGCTTTATTTATTGTAGATTACATTTTTTAAAAGGGAGTTTACATGAATTTAAAACATGAATTTAAGTATTTAGTTAAAAGGTGTTAGTTTATAATTGTGTGGTAAAGTGTGACGAAAACAAATTTCTTTGGAACAAAAGTTTGATATTTTAAAAAGTTTTAAACTTGGAGAAAAACTTGCTGACATTGGGAAAATTCTGGGTTTAGCTCTAACTACTGTAAGAACAATTTGTAACCCTGAAGCGGTCAATATAAAGGACTATTGAAAAGCTATCACACATTTGAAGATCAAACAAGTTACAAAAAGTACGAGTATAAGTCCATTTATTGTAAAAATTGAGCCTCTTGAATAGAAAATCAAAATCAAAGAAGAATGCCATTGAACCAAATTCGAATTCAGAATAAGTCTCTGTCGATATTCAATGAATTAAAAGGTAATCCTTAATAAACCAATGGTCAAAAACAAAAATATTTTTGGAAATTAAATATATGGAGAAATGTCATGCGATTTGCGTTGTTTCGATTTGCGTCGCATTTGGTCGTTTCCAATTAACGACTCATATCGGAGTCCTACTGTATACTAAACGATACAATAATGTCAGAAAGATACTGCACTAAAAGATTCTAAATAAATATCAAATATATAAGGAATTTTTATCGTATTGCAGATATGAATTGCATCCAGTAAGGGAAAATGTCCAAGTATCTATCTGTATATTACAATAGAACAAGTTACTCTGAATGTACATGTTAATAATGTAATCATAAAAGAATTTGAATTGATGTAGTAGTTATATAGACGCTTTCGTCTATATGTTACATATTTATTACGCTTATATGAATTTAATTTTATTATTTAATTTGTCTTTTCTTTCCTTAAGTCTGCATCAATTTCATAATAGGTACACACATTTATTGTACCAGTAAAAGAGATTAATGGCATCATAAGCCTCGCCAATTGTTATGGTTTCATTTTCTTTTTTGCTTTTTCCAATTGCGAGAAGTGACAAAATAATACGGTAAATTGTTGTTGGGAACTGTAAAAATTTTGACAATCTCCGCTTTGAACAGTTTATAAAAAATTATCAACAAAAAACCATTTTAAAGATAACCGATTTATTCGAAAAATGATTGCGAAGACATTTCTGTTTAAACGTTTTTTACCACAAACATAAATATTAGTACATATGGAAGATATGTTACATAAGAAGGTAAACGACTTGGAGGTACATTGTAATTCTATTCTTTCCATTCTTTTCGTAATAAATAGGTAATATATTGCAGATTCATATTCTTAATCTCGATTGAAGTATTAGTTAACTAGTGATATTATATGTTATAGTAAAAGAACTTAACAGAATGTCCTCTTAATTTATCTAGTATATTGAGATAATTTCCTGTTTGATTATTTGATAATACTGTAATTGTCAATGAGATTATTATAAGACGAAAGGAATATAATGAAATTTGTTTAAAATTTATATAAAAATTTGACTGTGGATTTGTAACAAAAATATTAAGTTGTTGTACTTTAAGTTAATATATAAATTAGCATAGTAATGTAATGGCAAAAGTTAAGTCATCTAGGCGGTATAAAATTTTTATGAGTGAAGTCTGAGACTATGATACTAAAATAAGTGTGTATAACACATTGTTATTAACATATTATTATTATAATTATATTACTATTTTAATAAAATAGCAATAATAACTTTATTTAAACTCGCTGATTAAAATTAGACTATGTTACTAGAGAGAGTAGGCCTTACTTTAGAAATATAGCTCGATTTTTTAAATTAATTTTTGCTTACCTCGTAGTACAAAACCTACTTGTTTTTCTTTAATAAAATAAATCTATAGATGTTGTATTAATTTTTTCTTATGTATGTACATATTTAAATAAATGTCTATCGCTAATGGAATATTCCCTAACTTAATAGTTATTAATTCTTTTAAAATTACTTTATAAAATATGATAGTATTCCACAGAATGAGTTTTATAAAAACTGTAAGAAAATTTCAGTGTCAAATTTATTTATGAAAAGATAATTAACCATTACTAGAAGGTATATGTTCCTAGTACCTTATTGTCTTGGCAATCTTACATTCTGAAAGGTTTAATGATAATCTATATTGTAGTTTCGAAAGTAAATATAAAATAACCACATATGTGATCAAGGTTTCGATCAAATTATTATTGAAAATTATTTTTGGACGTTACCTTGCCACACAACTTGATTCAAATACTAGCACTGAGACATCTTATAGTATTGAGTATTGAGTTTTACAGTACTTTTCAACAATTTATCAAAGCATAGCTAACAATGTCAGATGTTTTGTCAGATGTTTCTTTGTAAAGATTCTAAAGTTTGGATATTCTTCGCATAGTATAGTAATTCTCTGCATAAACACAAAAATACGTACATTGTGGACAAATTAGCTTGGCGCCAATTCACATTACCGAAACCTGTAATGACACAACCCTAAAGGTTTGAGACGTGCTTTTAGCAATTTTAAAACAATACGGGCTTATCACCCATTCTCATCGAATACCACACTATATAGCGACTTTTTGTGTATATAATAAAGTTTGATCGGAAGTTATCTACTAAAATTAGTTTTATTATATTGAAAATATTTATTTTAATAAAAATTTTTAATATTTTTAATAAAAATTTTGAAATTAATTATTAAATGTTTTATACATCATTTTTTATAACTTGCAGTAAATACTTAATGTTGTAGTCTACATGTATTCCCAACATGTAAAAAATATAGTTTTTACATATTAAAGTATTGTGAAAGCAGATATATTGTAAAATTAAAAAAAAAAATTAAAGTGAAATATTTGTATGAACACGCACTCTTTTAAAATATTAAGGATTAATTTCACAGTTGTTTATATATACCTATATTATATTTATATTATATTTAAGTCAGTTCTAGGACTTAAATTACGCCCGTCAAATGGGCCTTTTATTGTGTATTTAATATGTAATAAATGTTAATAAGAACAGATTAAATTTTTTCAACCTAAAAATCAACTTTTTTAAGGATTTATATGATGATTTTTATCCAACTCTGTGCTGTTGACATTAAACATGTATTGTAAAACATACAATACGTAATAATAATAATAATAAATAGAAAAGATGTTAGTGACGTCACGTAACATTGTGTTTCTATTGGTCGAAACTCAATGTTACGTGATGTTATCATTGTGTTGGTTTGTTT